TGTGGCTAAATATCGCGATGAATGTCTGGTCAAAAGGTTCCGCGAAGCTACTTTGGAACGTGGAATTTGATGATGCTTCCAAGAAAACAACAGCACTTTTCTTTCCGAAGTTTTTATTTTTAAATTATTGCTATATTATTCTTTGTAGGAAGTTACAGTCAGAGTGAAAGGTGAGCTCGTAATTTTATGCGCAGTTCGTATCTTCTATACTATATTCCAGCATACAATTATACACGGCGTAATGGAATATGGGAAACACTCGACAGACATATTGAGCCTTTTTCAAGTATTTTGTACACACCGTCTAGTAGTGTGATCCTCGGTATGATCGTTCGCGGAACACCGCCATTTTGTCCGGCATTTCCGGCAGCGGTTATTAGCGCTGGAATCTGCGTACAGCTGGAGGCATCTAGCAACACGAGGAGCAAAACATGCCGGAAAAAGCTTGGACAGTAGAGAGAGGGCCGGTTGACTTCACGTGTGTTTTCTTTCTTCCTTTTTGCTCTTTCTTGTTCTCTTCCCCGGCCTCATGGTAAATCGTTTCCCTCGCGCTCGCACACGCTCGTGCAAGGACAGAGACCCACGCACACGTACATACGTACACTCGCGCGGGAACCATACACTCTCTTGCCCGGCAAAACTTAACAAAACAATTTGCTCCAAAGCAAACAACGGCATCCGGTTTACTTGTGAATAAACAACATATTTATTTTTAGAGGCCCCACGGCCGTAACCCGTTTGCTCGGCCCCGCGCCTCAGACTCGCGTCTATTTGCTGCCGTTACACGACTTAACGGCCGGGGATAAAAATTGACGGGGCCACAAATACCGTCACGTGTTTTAAAATTCCTTTACTCCTTCTCTCTGTTTCTCATGGTCTCGGGTGGACCGTGTCACTGGGGAACCGTTCTGCTACAGTTTTGCAGTCGGAGAATATTTCAAACGATTGGTTTCTTTCTTCTGAAACTTTTGTTCGTATTAGAACATCGAAGAAAATGTGATTTATTTTGTGTAGATCACAGGGAAGACCTAATTTTTGTTCTAACTCGTCTGTTACATCTTTCTTATTTTCTACTGCTGGGTATACACTTTTTAACACTTCGCTTTTTATTTGCTATTACTGAGAACAGAAGAGAGATAATGTTATCTCGAGAAGAGAGGGAGTATACTTTACCTTGTAAGTGTTAACTCGCTAAGGTACATGTGAGGTAGAATTCTACTCCAATTGATACAGTCTGTTTTCGGTCAGATTTTTGGCTCCGTTCTACAAATATTGATTCGAAACCTGTTTAGTGCTGTTCCTTGAAGTCTCAGGTTCTCGTTTCATGCTTGGTAAATGGGGGAAAAAATACTGGAACGGTCGTTGGTAAAGAACGTATGCTTATTGTGATGGTGAATAATACAAGAAAATAAATTGTAATGTTATTTCACCGTGGGCAGGCCTACTTTCCAAAGTATGAAGTCAACACTAATCGCGACAGTGACTGCATCATTCCAATGGATCGTTTATGAACACGATTCAGAGTAAATATTACCGCCTATTTTCCCAAGGCCTGGTCATTCCAACCGCCAGTCATGAGGGACGTATTTTCGAAAAAAAAATTAATACACCTTCGTCATATCATTTTATATATTTCAAGTCCTTTACATATTTCAATCATGATATTGTACCAGTCTTTAAAACTCATACTAATTCTGAAAAGCCTCATTTTCTACACAATATATAAACAATTGAAAAAAAACAATTTTTACTATAATCCAATTGCTACCGACTCCACTTTCCATCCATTTTTAAAAATTGATAGTGCTCGCTGCAAAGTTGTCTTATCCCAATAATAAGTTTGTAACAGGTTAACAGGACAATTTCGAGAAAATGCTGTTAATCATTCGAGGGTCATAATTAACATCGAATAACACTCGTACCGTTGTGCTCCCGGATTAAAGGAGTTCTAACCGCGACCTAATTCCAAGATAAGATAAGTCGTTAAGTGCATGGTGTGGCGGCCCCTCGCGATACTACCCGGTGTTTTATTGCCTTGGCTCACCCCCACGCCGACTCTCCTTCGGGGCACAACGAGATTTATTGTAAAATTCGATAGATATTGCCAATTACAACCCCCGCGGCGCTCCTCCCGCCGCCGCCGCCTGTTCTATCGACAGAGACAGGAAACACCTTTCCCCGTCGCCTGGAGAATTTTAAATGCGTTTTATGTACAGAGACGACGCGGTGCGTTGCATAAATCCGTCGCCCCGAAAATATGATTACAATCACTACCACGACCGTATTTCCTCCCTTCGGCCCCACCCCCTTTCTCAACCCTCCTCCATGGACCACCGATAAAACCTTTCATTCCGTTAGTTGAGTGTCTTACAAGGAACTCGAGTAATCTTCATCGATCATCGTTTTTATTGCCGCCTTGTATACTAATTTTATACCCTTTTTACGCCTTCACCACCCCCCGAAGGGTTCTCCTCGCGCCAGATAAGCAACACTGGATACCAGACTCAGAGACAATGAATTTTCTCGTCCAATGATCGTTTGAAGAAGGATTACCTTGGACCTGTATTTATTCAAGGTATACTTTGAATAAAATATAGAACAGAGAAAAATGTTTTCTTGTATTACTTTCACGTTTGAAACAGTCAGAACATAAATGTAGAAGAAGCTTAACCATTCCAAATATCATTAAGACTTTGTATACTATCATCCCACAAAACCCCGTTACAATTCAAGTCGGCCAGTTGGGATCCTCCCCTCGTAAGGGTTAAAAAATTCCTCCTTGTAGAGTAATTACTTTCGCGTGTATTGGAAGAAGGTATCTGGGACATCGAGCGTAACGACGACGACGACGTTGACGACTGGTTACAGACAGTTGTTTATTTCCAAGCTGGACGCATCGGGCTATGCACAATGCGCGACACAACGTGAAATGTTCCGTCCTGTGTGTTACGTTCTGTCCTCCTGGGTGTGTGTGTCACCACAGAGACGATAGACGTGGTCGCAGCACGTTGCGTGTTTTGTTTGCGCGTTTCTTTTGTCGCGTGTATGTCCAGCTGCGCGTCGAGACCGTGGCTGGCTCATGCAAATGAACCGCACAATGTACCTCAATAGCATCCGCGTATTTATATATGCTATCCGGTTCATTATTTTCCACCGCCACTGTTTATTTCTGCCTTACAACGGCTCCGCGAGCGGAACACGGTTTTTCGCGAAGGGATATAACGTTAAACAGCTCCTCGTTCCCCTGACGCGCTCTCATCGATCGTCTGCTACGTGCACTCTGATATTTATGGAAGGGAAATTATAAAATACAATTAGTGTGTGTTGATACACCAGGTGGAGAATAACACTTGCACCGTGGTAATGGACAAAGAAATAGAAAAGGACAGTAATTACCAAGGAATAGAAATTGCTATCAGGTGACGATATGTCAGAATCATGTCTACTGCTCTCTATAATTTTGCTGCCAATATTTTTATCATTTTCTATCTCTTCGTAAGGAATTCGTAATTCTGACGACATAAAGTAACAGTTAAGTATTTACAGTAACGATGCGTTGTAACAGTAACACTCTCAAGGTACACCGATAAAATCTTTGAATCACACGCAATCATACAGGCATTAATGATTCACTCTATTTGCTCGTTCGATCTCGATTTATTCTTCGACACGGAGGAGATCACAGGGAATAGCGGTCTTATTTGTGGTTAATGCATCTATTCTGGCCCCGGTCTCATCGTGATCGCCTCTAATTATAACCCAAATTTGGTCAGGCTTCAAATCATCCCGTTCCTTCGTTGCCCCTCGTCTCGGTCTGTACGTTCCACCTACGCAGAAACTGGCGATGCTGGAGCAAGTTCGGGACGAGTCTTCGAAGGTTGCGCAATCGGTCGAGGATAGAAATTCGGCTAATTATACCGCGGGTCTAAAGCGATTTGATTAAATCGGTGCAGCTGCATCGTTGGGCGTAGCCAAATTTTCAGTCGAATCTGTGTTCGACAGATTCGCTACTTGATTTTTCTCCGCGAACCTGCGTTATTATTCATGATCCACGAACAAAGTTCGACAGAAAGATGAACACAGATTTAACCTGATGATCTCGATACTGTCCTAGAAACAGTGTCCCAGAATTGGCAGGTGAAAATTGGAAGTATCGAACATGGCTGCATCGAAGACACATAATGGGGGGCTGGAAGGTCGAGGCACGTAACCGTGCAAACGAATATTAATATAATCGCGGTAACCAGAAATCCACGGCGGGGTAAAGAATGATATAATAGCCGGGCCCGTAAGGGATGCGTCTGCGACCGAGAGGGCGAGTCGCTCGAAGATGAAGTGTTCTCATTATACCCAGGTGATTTATGCGCGTGCCACCTTGCCCGTCGGGAGATTCTAGGTTAGAAATAAAGTTAAAAGAAAAATAAGGCTTACGGGGTGCAAAGTCGAGAGAGAGTATGGAGGGAAAAGACGTCTACCCGTGGCTCCTCCGTCGAATATATTACAAAAATAAGCCCGTCGCCGGCCGAACGAGTCCCGAAAAAAAGTTTTAAACCGCGGTGTTCCAAGGATCCATGATACTTTTCTGCGCGGCAAACCTGTGTAAGAACAATAACCACAGAGGATTAAATATTGATAAATATAAAACCACCATAAAATTTGAATTCTTATGTACTGTGGTTAAAATAAAAACGAACCAAGTATGCCATGTGTGAAATCGCGTCGAGAAGTAATGTTTCTCCAGAAAAGAATAGATTACAGTAAATCATCGATGAGAGGAAGTTAATCGACACTCAGTGTTCAGACGTCATTCCCGCCACTTACTTAACCACAATACATAAGGATTGAAAAGTTTTGGGTGGTTTAATAGTTGTGCCACGCAGTGTTGAAGAAAGTTCAGAAAAATTGGTTCACCTTTCACAAGGATAAAAGTAGAATAAGTACGTGTGGAAAAATAATGTCTGTTGTATTATCACGATACTAATATCGACTTGTCGTTGCAGGGACACATCGGTGAGAATCCGTTCGACAACGGTTCCTGGGGCAAGGAGCAGTTTCAACCATCCGCGGTTCCTTGGCAGCTGAATCCGCGCGGCCACGCTCGTCCCAGTGTGAGTATCACCGACTATATACCGCTCTATTCCGCGTTTAGTCCGTTCTTCGTCCGTAACACGAGAGAATAAATGAGGAGGGAAGGGGGTGAAGGTAAAAAACCGTAGGGTGGAGAGAGCGGAGGAGCAGAATTGTAAAGGAACGCGCGCGAGGCAAAGCCACTTTGGCTTCGGGACCCGCGGAGAAAGAGGAAGAGGAGGAGGAATATAACGCGCAGTCAGAATCCTGTCGGACACAAGGGCTCGGTGTCTGAAATTTGTAATTCCGGCTGGATAAGAATACTATCCCCTCGGCACGGTGGGAGGGGAGGGTGAGTAACGACCGCGGAAAAAGAAATCCGGCCACTCATTGTGTCCGCAGGTAGCAAAAATGCTGGGGGCATCGCTTCCTCCGAGCATTTTCTCTCAGGAGTCGACACGGCCGGCCCGGTGTCGTCCTCGGCCCGGCGACCCACCCTTATTCTCGCTCGGAACCCACCCTCTTTACTAGCTCGACGACCACCACCACCACCCCTGCTGCCACCCATCCCTCGCCCACTCGCGCGCCTACTCGTCCTGTCACCCGGTATTTATAATACGCTTTGTTTTCCCTCGGCTATTTGTCTTGGGCTCTCGGTTCCTTCGCTAACGTTATTATCTCGCGTTTTATTTTTATTTAATTCCCTGCCCTCGAGTTCCTTTCCGTCTCTCTGCAACGCAGCACCGCGTTCTCCGTGGACGCCAGGCGCCGCCGTTACTTATCCACCCTTAACGAGCGAAACGTGTCCTCCGGTTTGAGGAAAACTTTGCGCCAACTTCTTTTTTCGATTCCCACCCCCTACCACCATACTGGCCTTATCCACTCTCTGGCAATTAATAAGGGTGCTTGAATTTTCAGTGACACTGTACCGAATTAAAAGGATTACTTAATTTGTTTATCAGCTTGTCGCGTAGGAATTATAGAGGAAAGCAATTCTCTGTATTTGGGAGATTCTGAGTTCGCGACATTGTGAGATTTATACTTTACCGTATGCAGCGTTCAACGGTGAACTGAAAGCCTGACGTGATATTTTGTGGCTGGTGTAATGAAAATTTGTGAGGAAAGGAATCTTACGAGGAGCGAAATTTACGTGAAAAGAAGCGATCGACGAGTTGCACATTAACGGTTTTATTTATTCGCCAGGCTTACCGAGCAATCGGATACATCGTTATATACATACACAACTTAAAAGAACGCACGTTCCCAGCGAGCATCGAGAGCCGTGACGTTGTATCGCAGCGCAGGTAATGCGCGTGCCGGTACGGTTAAATAAACGGGGAATGACGTGCAATCTAAATTACACGCGATAGGAACACAACGGGCGAGCGTTACCACGCGATTTCCAAGACGTTTAATGTAACACAACCAAGCGTACTTTATCGGCCTGGTTTACAGGACGATCCACGCCGTGGCAACATCCGCGTCCGGGAGAGCAAGCAGTAATCGCAGTGATCATCGAGTGATTTTCTATTCTCGAACGACGTATCTGTTCGCCAGCTTATTACAATACAATGTCTTCGTTCACCCGGTTGGTTACTCGCTTGCGCAATGAGGAGAGTACTGAAAAAAAAATAATAATGTTTATCTTGGCTTTTACGTGCGACAGGGAAGCAAACCCGATGCCCGCCCACGCACGTAGTCGGGGCTCTAGGAAAAAACCGTTCGTGCCACTTCGCACGTATGTACGTGTGTATCAAGCCTGTTTATTGAAATTGTTTCGTCCCGACACGACGTGTCAGTGAGAGAGGCATGTGGGAAGTACACACGCGTGTTGTTGCGCACGCAACAACCTATGGCCTATCGTGTACCATTGTTGAATTCCGAGTATGAATCGAGTGCAACACTTTTAAAAAAAAATCTTTAAGAGATTTGTTCAATTACACGTAATAGAGCGTCATAAAAGTCTAATTGTGAGCTGAACGTTTCGGAGTACTCAAGTATCTCTTTGAATTAGGTCTTAGCTACAGTAAATCCTCGATGAGTGTTTATACGCTCCTCGGAACTAAACATTAAATGTTTCATAATCTAATGGCTATATTACTCTATAACTGTGCTAAACCTCGTTAAAAAATCACTATTACACCTGGGGACCTCTCCTTATCAGTGTCGAGAAGCCTTCAATATAGGGGTGGGAGGAATTGAATTGTAGTGGAACGATTGCACCAGAGGAATATGGAATGTTCTATTTGCACTATTAGACAAATCGTCAGAGAGCAAAGGATACCGTTTGCGCCCCAACAAGATTATGCACGCAACGAGAAACGCCTATTTGCGGCTTTCTAAGAAGCTGACAAACGCGCACGTGGTGCATCGACCGATTCCACAATATGCACGCTTACGTGCATTGGCACATACGAAAAAGGCAATCGACTATAGGTGCACAGTAGAAGAAGGAGAGAGAAAGGGAAGTGTACACACTAACATACACTTCGTATGAGATCATCGAGCGTGCCCGTGGAAACACTGACGTCAACAGTTTCGGCTGGTCTCGTTGCCTTCGCGAAATGATCCACGCCCCGATACGATCGTATCAGGAAGACTAACGCCGATCGTGCACGTGAAAATATTACGCGATCCTGTTTCATTAAACATCACGGTGGAATAACCTGGTCTCTGGCGGGCGGCTACACACCGCCTTGCGAAATAATTAAAGCCGCAGGGATTTATCACAACGGATCTGTCGACGCGATTAGACCCAGCAAATTTTCGTGGCCGATATGAAGTCGTCGCGGCTCGCGAACAAGGGCCGGGGTTTCTCGAATACGGGGTGTCTAAAGAATCTAGAACCGTAAAGTTTTCCTAACTTCGCCGTATAAGGGACTGCTGTGATCGAAATGAACTCTTCTTCGTGAATGTAGCCTGTTGCAAATCATAGGAATAATTAACTTTTTAGGAATCGAAGAATGTCAATTGCTAACTCAGAAACATTTCTACAACAAACAGTATTTACATATTGAAATTTCTAAGTTACTCTTAATCATAATATTACACCAAATAAATATTACATTCGAGCTATGGAATCTTTCAATAGGTCAAAATATTTTCTGCAATGGTCAAGGGATAATTTAGATTCATCGTCATCCATCTGATCCAGAAATCAAAACGAATACAAATAATAAGCTGCCACAGATGGAAATGGACATACATAAGTACGAATTCGAATTTTTTTCCGGACACCCTGTACTCGAAGGGCGTAGCAATATCGGTGAAATTTAAAAGGGGCGAAACGAGCACGATTCTCGTGCCGGTAATCCGAGCCTCGCGCTCACTCCACGCCAATATGAATCGCGGGAAAAATCAGAACCGTTCCGTGGGAAGGGTGTGGGGGTGGGAAGTGGATCTTAGTCCCTCCAGCAACCCCTGGGTTTTAAGATATGCAGGGCACAACGCACGCTTTCCTAGCGAGACTATTTTAATACGAATGAGGGTGGGAGGATCAGAGCGGGCGCGCGATGGGTACAGCCAGAGAGACTCGCCTGAAGATCTACTTCTTGATTACAGAACTTTTTACCTAATTACATAACATTGTTACCATTTACAAAGTCGCGGCCGGATGCACGGCGTCTGACTACTAATTAGAATTCCCGATTAGCGGCCCGACGAGATCGCGCTTCGTTTCGATAAATTTCGTGTGCATCCGCCTCTCTTGCTTCGCTGTTTCAAAGGAATAATATTTGGTCTCGGGTCCCTGAGTCTGAAATCATTAAAACCCTTGGAGATCCTTCGCTTTTAATATTGATAAAGTATTATGCTATGTAGTGTAGACGTAGCTATCTTTATTTTATTCAATCGGAAGAATACATTGACAGAATACATTGTCGGATCTCGTAACGATTCGTGTTTCTTTAAATATCTATAAATGGAACAACGGTCGCGTAATTAATTGAAGTCGGAGACAACAAGCGTTCCGAAACGCTCGAGTTTATCAGAAGCCACGGTCCTTATCGGAAAGATGTAAAGTCGCAGGAGATAGTCATGCGCAAGGGACGAGTTCTCGACGATGCAGACATTAAGACGTCTGGTCCTCGACCTCCGTTTTCCACCCCTCTTAGCCTCGCCACCCCTCACCCCGTTAGGTGAACGCGGCCCCTTAGACGACGGTGGTTTACCCCGTCTTCATTGTCCTCTAATTCTCATCTGATCCTCACATTACGTAATTTTCTCTTTATTATTTTATAATTCCTGACTCCTGGTGCGCCCCGGTGCTCTCTGTCTTTCTCTTCGTATTCATCCGACTGGTAGGTCCGCACGAACTCACCCCACGCGAAGCATACTAATGCATTCTCGCATTTATTAATTATTCCTCGCTAGTTACCGTGGCTTTTCGCCCCCCCCCCCCTCAACGACTGCTTGCTCCACTCGAGTAGCCCAGCAATGATAGATTAAACCTCCTAGATTCGTCGACGGACAATATACCCGCTCGCGTACTTCGCTTATCTCCAGCGAGTTTTTCATCCCCCTTTTCCTATTGTATATTCTATTATCTATCCGTCTCGAGTATCCTTCGGCTAATAATCGACTGGAAATGATTCCTTCCTGTTTTATTTTCCTCGAACGTTACAACTGGAATTTTTTCAACCCCCATCCTCTTAGAAACTCCTCGTCGAATATACATATATTACCGGAGCAGCAATTTTTGTAAAACTATTCGAGGTATCGAATTCCCTTTCTCTCCCCCACCCTCTTTTCTTCTTTTGCCACTCGATAGCTACCGAACGGATTTTTTTTTCACGTCGGACTTGAGCCCAATACCGTCGGGAATTTAATTCCCTTTTAACGTCCGGGCGATTCCTTTTCACGGCGATCGCGAATGTTAAATTGGCTCGACCAAGAGAGAAAGAGAGGCAGCCTCTAGCGGCTACATTAATTGCACCGGATTGTTAGGGTGGTGGGTGGACGGTTGGAAGCCAGGTGGGTGTCTAACTGTGGATCAGGTGTGGGGGATGGAGGACCTGCCTCCGGTGGAAAAGGCGGCTTGCAT